ACATTCATTTTGATATATATATAGATTGATATGAAATCTTGGTAACCTTAGTAACCATGGCAACCTTGGTAACCATGGTAACATGGACACACAGACACACACACTGACATACATTCATTTTTAACACTTTTCTTAAGTTTGGTTACACGTCTGTCTGTGATCAAATCTTGCGCGCTCGATTTGAGGCACTTTTTGAAGATGAAAAATTCTGAAAATTTGTATAGACCTTGGTCTTGGATGACAATACAATAATCCGTAAAAAATTTTTTTTAACTAAAAAGTAGAAAATAAAAAATTAAAAAATTATTTTTTAAAAACACACTTTTCTAAAAAACAAAAAAATAATGAAAAATTTAAAAGTGTGTGGCGCTCTTAAACTTGACATATTATACCACACACTTTTAAATTTTTCATTATTTTTTTGTTTTTTTAGAAAAGTGTGTTTTTAAAAAATAATTTTTTATATATATAGATTATCATTCGGTGACGGTTAAAAAACAACGTCGTGTTATAATATTATTATATAATAGGGCTCTATCGACTATTACGCACCACGTGCATGTTATTCACAGGTCATTACAGGTGTTTAAAATATAATTTTACGCGAAATGGATGTCGTCCTCGGCGAGTTGGCGAACGGCTAACGATATATTATCACGGGATCATCACTAAAACGAAAACGACTACAATATAATTACCCCGGGGCCACATCGACGGGCGTGGATATTACTATAGAACGCGTCACCTGTCTCACTGTTTTTGTTCTGAAACTCGTAATTAATAATAAGGGAAAGTTGCGCCCCCAACGCTTTAAACTGCTGATGAATGGATGTATTTTTGATAACGGCCTTATTTTAGTGACCCGTTCGACGTATTTATTTCAAAACGGACCGAATGGAAATTGGAAACGCCGATTGTTTTCTGCCGATTACGTTTAACGATAATAATTAAATTCCAATGAGTTATAATGAAAACGACCAAGTGTAAAACAATTGCCCGGAGGCATTTTTCATTTCATTTAAATACGATTTAAATACGTATCGTATTATATAATAATACGATTGGGTTTTTCTGCCATCGATAGGCCACAATATATCATAATATTATTATTATGTATAAACTATTGTTAATTATCTCCTGGTGGGCGAACCAGGTTAACCACGATTTAACGATTCGGGAAAGTTGTCTTATTGTATGGATTAAACCAAAGCAGGAATAGACATTTTTGTAGATTCTCCTCTGTAAGGTTTTAGAAAAAAAATACTCAATTCAAGAATATAATAATATTTTTAACTTGACTTAGTACTAAAAAAATTATATTATATAAATACATAACAATATATAAAATGAGTAAATATGAATAGTAATATTATAGAACATTATTAAGACATTGCGAAAATTGTACGTCGTCAGTATGATACATTTTTCACTGACAGAATATTCTCATAAAGTCAGCGTTATATTAAAGAGTAAGATTGTCATATTTTAAAATTAACTTCAGATTTTTTTTTTTACTTATACAGAACTCAAAGGTAGAAGACGAAAAAGTCAAGTATAATGTTTAATTTTTTTTTTTCATTCAAAAAATATATTTATTTCTGTTCACTAAATTGAATTCATTCTTTTATAATCAAGCTCATTAGCTCAATATAATTATTTACTTATTGTGAATGAAATATTAACAGTATTATTTTCTTTTTAGAGTTCGTACAACAGTAAAATAAAATATGCATTATATTGTGATATTACTATTGTTTATTAACAAGATTTATCTTATGGATTAATAATCAACAATATACACCTAAAGAATTATTTTAAATAAATACTTAAACTTTCCTACAGAGCTTTACAATGTTAATATAAACTATATTTGATTTTTAAAACCCAAACATTAGAAAACGTTAATTTAATGTTTTTCAAAATAACATATCAGTAACATCAGTTAAGTTACAATATTTTTAAAAAAGCGTATGTGAGTTACATATATTAATTGTGTATAATGTTTTATCCCAAAAATCAGTTGAGTAAATTATATAAATAAAATGCAATAGCCTTGAATGTTGAATATTATGTATAAATAAGTAAATATTTGTGAATCACATTATTTAATATTATGTATTTTGTATTTTCATTTTCAAATTCGATGTCAGTTATAAATTAATTTTGCTGTTTTTCAAAAATATTAAATTAAATTACAATAACCTTGATGCATTATAATTATTACTATGACAATCCAGACTGTAAAATTCTACCATACTTTATCCATTGTCAGCGTGTTTTTATTTTTCGTTAGGGGCGGCTAACAAGAAATCTGATTTTAAATCATAATTATTTAGACGACATTTGACATGAAATTGTATTGCGCATATTATTTAATATTTAAAAATGTTTACAACCGTAAATACATTGCAATTTCATAATGGCGTTGTACTATAAATCCTATCACACTTTACGGTTTTTCGGAATCGTAAATATTGATGAAAACATTCTCCTGGTTTTCAATGCGAACTTCAAACACAATAGATTCATTTCTGAGATTACCATTATGCTAAAGAATAAATGCGAACCAATCAAACATAATAATATATTATCATGCTGACAATAGCATCTATTGAATTAATATAATCACCATAATGTTTGTCCCCTTAGATGATTATAAACGTATACTTTATAGGATATTATATTAGGATTTAGAGGGCTAAATTAATAGCATCTTAGAAATAATAATATACTACTCGGACTTAATAAACTAATATATTCTGGTAGAATAGTTGTATGGTATATAATACTAAATAGTTAATAATATGGTTTAACGCTCATAACGTATTATTTAGTTTACTATAATATAAGAGTACATTGACTGGTTTAATATCAAAGTTTTGCCAATTTATTAATTAAAAACGCGATTGAATAAATGACCCATAAAATAGTAGTCTATAAGTGGCTATTTTCTGATTTGAGTATTCATTAATTTTGAGTCTGTATTTCGGTGGGTTTTATTTTTATTTTTTTTAAATTCAAATTTAAAAGTGTTATCAATATTTAATACTATAAACAAATATTATAAAACATTTTTCAAAGTATTATATCTTGACTTTTGTTCATTTGGCATTTTTGATTCTTATTTATGTTTTTATTATGTTTACTTTTCATTGTATTTTCTTTGTATTATCCATTAGTTTTGCAAGTGATTTCTTTTTTTTTTTAATCTTTATATTTTAGAAAGCTGTGTATTTTCTTAATTTTAAGCAAAAAGGTGTATCCTAATACCTATTTATCTTATTTTTAAATTAAGCATTTATATTATACAATTGTCAACTCTCTACTCCGTCACAAGCCCTGGCTTAAAGGAGTAGATATATTTCTTTATCTATATTATTATGTAATAAATCGTTAAAGGTAAAGAAGAAAAAAAATATTCTCTCATTTTTTTGGACGGTTATGAAATCTCAAACGATTCCGAATCTAGTATACCTACTTATAAATCCATATTAAGTAAGCCAATCAAAAAAAAAGTTTAAATATAATCTAATAATAATACAAATTTTAATTCATGCCATTCATGTTTTTGAGCCAATCAAAAAACAAAAAAAAAAAAATTAAATATATCAGAACTTTGTTTTTGGTTGCTAAATTACATTTGTTTTAGTATAAATATTTCAAGGAAATAAATAAGCTTATGTGATTTAAGTATACAAGCAATATATTATATAGGTATACTTAGTTAAATAGTTTATATTTATGTATATGTAAGAATAAGTTTAAAACAGATCCACACTTATCATGAGGTGTTAGTGCGTTTCGTCATTGGTTTTTGTTTGATCTTGTTCTATTTTTAGTGTTATATAATATCAACATTATAATATTAATATATTTCCTTATCTAAGACGTTGTATTTTGAAGTACCATTATAGTATATAGATTATTATATACTAAAGGCTAAAGGCTTGTCAGTATTATGATTTATGGAGTTTTTCATATTATACAACATTTAAATTATTACATGGAATTAAATCAATCTTTCCAATCGCTCGGCATATTATAGAGAACACTATTTTAGCTATAAATTATGGCCATCATACGTTACAAGCTTTACGATTATTATATTTAATCATACTATATGTTGAAAATGTCTATATAAATGGATCATAATTCATTATACAGTCTTGGATAGTAACTTAACCAAAGTAACGCGTAATTTTGTTAGGGCTGTTTTCATGTAACGAAAATTTAATGGCAATGACTTTTGAATATTAATTACTATAATAAAATGTGTTACCGTTTCAACTGGTTTCGAATGTTACGAATTAAAAATATGTATATATATATATAATAAAGATATTACGTAATATTAATGAAAATACTATAAAATATGTCTATAACGCTGATATTGGGTATACAAATAAATATATTATTGTGTTAGTGTATTTAATTTGAACTTGTCAATGTTCAGTTTTCAATGTTTAGAACCACATGTCAACTTGCACCATAAATTACAAGAAGAGTTAATTAAATAAAATATATTTTTAATTAACTTTTCATCAAATATACAGAACGTTTCCTATGAATAGGTAGCGTGGACTGGTATAATATTATATTATTATTTTTACGTATTAACACAGTTTTAATATACTTTAAAAGTTAAAACTAATTTGTAATTTTTGGATTTTATATTATGTTTATAATTATTGTTAAGTAACTATTTAAACATTTTTTTCGACGTATTTTTCAAATTATACCTAAATAATATAGTGTTTATACGTCTTGTACTGCATGTCGAATGACTATTATTATAAGTCATTACAGAAATACATGTTATCCGTTTTTTTTTTTTGTAAACGTAGCTTTTGTAACGCAGTTCATATTTTATGATTAAGAATTAAAGTAATTTTATTAAAATGTAATTACTTTTTAAATCTTAATTACCCAACAGCATTTCAATCAAATAAATAACGATGAATAACTAGGTACCTAGTAAATATAATATAATATAAACTCACTTGATATCCATGAGCCATTGAACGAAGGCGCTTTGAATGTGTCCCCGGCAATTTGATCGACCGTAAATTTACTTCCAAGATTCCTAGGACCTTTGTATGGTGGTGACAGCAGGACGATAAAGAACACTATCAAGCCCAAAACGGCTACAATGACTAGAAGCGCGATAAGAATACCGCGCCAGTTTCTCTCATTTGGCGTGATTACAACCAATTCCTGAAAACAAAACGTAAAATTAAAAAGTGTTATTCCTGTCCTAATAGTCGTATATCATTTAAATGGTCAATTTAACGATTTTTACTATACTTCGTGTATTCTAATTAAACTCAAAGTACCTACTCGTATTATATAGGTACGCACATGATACCCTTTACGTATTTACATTAAAAACTAAAAATACACTAATGCAAACCATGGTGTTATCCAAACAAAATATGTTAATCAACTAAGTACACTTGAGTAGACAACGAAACATTATATTATATTTATATATTATATAATTGACCCTAAGTTAAATCATAATAAGTCTTAATAGACATGAAGGTAATTTTATTTGTGGTATAGGTACTATAAACATGTTTACTTATGCACATATACAACCATACAGAATTATTCACCAAGCATGATCATCCCCTATTTTCTTAAATAATGCAATTACCTAATCAAAATCTGATTTTTTGAATTTTTAAATATACACCATAATATTTTCAAATTTTTGAGGTCATTGTCCTTTTTAACGAGTGTCCTGTGGAGATATAAACTTATCTTTTTAAAATCAGAATACCCGATATTCGACTATACATAATTTTTCTGAAATTGTTGAAATTGTTGAAATATTAAAATCAAAATTCGTACTAGTATAGTTTTTGATTTATTTAGCTTTGTGATCGAAGGATAAAAAGTCCATGGTAATGGGCTTATAAGATATGGACGTTATAGTAATTTGAACATTTTAGTCATTTATATTAATCTATCAATATTAATAATTTGTGAACATTTTGTGTAAACATTAGATCCAATTTTATGTCTATTTTATATTTATGGAAAACCATTTTTAAGGACCATTATCCTGAATGCAAACACTTAAATAACTAAGAAACGACTCATTCGAATTTTGAATGAGGTACATCAAATTGTTCAAAAAAAAAAAATCCATACCTAAATAATCTGAAGTATAAATGGTGGATTCTCATATGAAAAAACAGAAGTTTGTAACGTGGAACTCCTTACGTAGTACAAAACAATGCATGAATTTAAAAACATGGTCTTTGAGTAAAATTAAAAATTCCAAAAATCATAATTTGAATAAATTAATTATTAAATGAAAAAATGGGGGTAGACATGCTTGGTTAATCACCCCGTATATATAATTAGGTCAAATAATATATAATTAAAAGGTAACCACATATTTTAATATTTAGTTTTTATGTGCATGATTAATAATATAAATCACAAAAGTCAAAAACTAAACACAAATTGTACTTGACATGTGTATGTATTATTATACAAATTCGTACAATTGTTATAATATTATTACCATGCTTAAGAATTTTGTTATGAAAAAATGTTAATAAATATTATAATAACATTTTTTAAAAAAAACATTTTGATTTTTAAGTACATAATAAGTCAACAATGACAATTTAATTACATTTTATATTGAACTTTAGAAAAATCCGTGAACCGTTAAAGTATAGCGTACAGTTTACGGTTCTAAAAATTTAAAGTTTTATTTAATTCACAAAGTTACAATCAACAAAATTCAACAGAATTATAATAATAATAATAATGAAAGAAAGAGAAAAAAAATATTTTTTTACAGTTTTTAAATATTAGTGTGTACCTATAGCCTGTGTTATCATCTGTAAGTGCATTTCATCTGTTTTTGGCAACATTTTTTTATTTGTCATTTATTTTGAATCAAACGGAACAATGTGCATAATTTTGTATTAGAATTATGCTCAATTAATTGTACGTTAAAACCATTTTTACAGCGTATATTGAGTAAGAAATGTATTAAATTATAAACAGGTCATCACATTGACATTTATTAAAAATTCGATACAAAACACGAGGTGGTGGCAGTGACGTTTTTACATGTTATTGTTTTGACAATACCTATTTTTTGTAATGGAAATATAGTAAAACTTTGATAACATTTTACTATGTGGGTACGAAAATTATTATGATCTCCGAAATAATAACACCGAACTAACAGTGCAATCACTATTCAGCCTCATTAAAAATCTAAAATATTAATACGCATTTCCCGTGTAACGATAAACATAAAATATAATTTAATGTATTATTATAACATAATTAAATGTTTTATATTGTCGAAAAAATATTTCTTTTATTTCTATTACCTACTCATATTTAGACATATTTTAGTAATACGTTAAATTAGTTTTCTCGAGTTGAGTACGTTCTACATGATCCAGTTTGTTGATGAACTTCTTAATTAAGACGCGTGCTTATGTTGTTTTACATATAAGTACTAAAAATGAAAACTTTTTAAGGATAGTGAACAACGATTTACACAACTGCACGGTGCAGTCAACATTATCATAACTCGAGCATATAGCAACAATTTACATAATAATATACATTTTGCGAATAAAATAAATCCACAGTAAAGTTATTATTTATTTTATTTTATTTTTATAACAATACAGGCCGAGACCCAAAAACATAAAATTATAGATATTACAAATTATATACAATATTTAATGTATGATATTTTATAAAAAAAATTGTACACATTTTTTAGTTTGAACAATAATAATTACAGTACAAATAATATTATTAAAATATCCAGTTGATGAATAGGTTATGGATAGTTAAAAGGGGACTTTATTAACAAGACGCATAAGAAGATAGAGTGGGAATTTCAGTATAATATTATAATTAGAAATGGAAAATGGAATAACAAAGGAACAAATAAATCTAGTATTACAAGGGGGTGCTTTAAAAATTTATTGTGAAAGGAGTGTAGGGAAATATATTGAATTTGGTAAAAGCTTAGAAATAAATCCAGATTTGATTCGTAAAGTGCTTACGATCAGCAAGACTGGATAAATTTAAAACCTAGTGGATATGTTCATAATCCTGTGGAGGACCATGAACCTTTAAATAATATAAATTAAATATTATATAAAAGTTATTTGAAAAAAAATTAAATTTTAAGTATTTAAATATAATTAGCTTGTCATATTATATTGAACAACCTGTCAACCTATAACATAATGTTCTAAATTTGACCATATATACATATTGCATAATAATATTATACAATTATAATAGCCATGAAACAACCATGAGATTACATTGTTTTCAGTCTTAATATGTTTTGAGCTTACTTCGCATACTTTAATAAATAAAAAGTCATACAATTGGTTTTCTGGATTATAGAACTATTAATCACAAAATAAATTTAAAAAAGAAGTTAAGTAAACAATTTCAATTTTGAATTAAATTCGTAAATATATTGTTAAAAATATAATTATTTGTTATATTTCATATTATTATGTTATATCAGACCCATATTATGCTGCATTGTGTATTTTCCAAATTTAATTATGTGTTTTCAAGTTTAAAATGCCATGTTTTCATTAATTTTGTTTCGAACATAAAAATGTTCATTATGTTTACAAAAATGAATTATTAATCTAAATAATAGCTTACCAGTTAATCGAGCGTACCAAAAAGTGCTATTCTAAAATTAGTACTTCTAATATTTACTTGAACCTATTAGGTAATAGGAATATTATACTGCAATCTAATATAAGAAGTAGGTTCTCGACACTATACCATAATATACAAAGTATATGAACACCCACTCAATATTAATTAAATTAATAATTCAAAATATTGGCGAATGAAACTTCTGTTTTTATGGCACTGATAAGTGACATTAATATTTCATGATTCCGCAATAATTCATGAATTCTTAAAAATTAGATTTTAGATTCTGAGCGAAGCGATGACTGTATCGATTTTACAATGATGTGTGTAATTTTTTATTTGTGTCTGTGTACACAAAGAGTAGTTGAAATAATGCTTCAATTTTCCACTTCAGTATCTTGAGCGATGGAAAAGTGAATGAAGTTGGTGGATTGGGGAGATCAAAATTACAAATAGTTTTCGAGAGCGAAGAGAAAAAGAAAAGAAAATGAAGGAAAAATGGGAATTTCTATGCAAAATTGGTTTTTGACAAAATCGATTTTGGTTTTTGGTGTAACTCTAAAAAAAATTAAGGTAGATGCATTCAATTTTCACTTAATATTTATATTAGCATTTGCTATACACTTGTTATGAGCTTTTTACGGACATTTTCAGTTACCAATGTTTTTAGATGTTTTTACTATTGATGTCAATAAAATATTATTCTTTAGGTCAAAACGCTTGATAATTTAATACAAGTCTCCTAAATAATATATTGTTATAATGGCAGTTGAAAATATTAAAAAGACATAGTAACAATTTTTTTGATAATCATTTAAATTTCGATTTTTGACAAAATACGAAAAATCAGGAAAATATTCTAACTATCTTGAGTTCGAAATTTAAAAAAATGTTATTTTTAAATGTAAGGTTTGAACATCCAATACAAGATTTCTCATAGTCTACCTTTACTTAAAAGAAATGTCTACCGGAAAGTCAAATTAAATTGTTATGTGCTTTTGAAGTTCAAATTTCTACAATATTGGATATTCACTCGATTTCTTATATAGCGATTTTTTATTTTGTTGTAATTCAAAAACAAATAATTTTAGATACTTAAAATTTACACCATGTGTTTATTTCTACATTATAACATGTTCAAAATATATATTTTTTTTATAAGCATTTAAAGTTCAAATTTTGACAAAATGGATCAAATTTAAAATTTAAAAATAATTGTGTAGTTAAAAATGTATAAAATGTAAAACTTTCGTAGCTAAGGATTAACAATTTAAATCAAGGTTCACATAAATTTATATTGTGTATTAACTTTATTTAGAATAATAATATCATCAAAATATATACATAGTAATATCATAGGTCTTCGCTCATAATCGTTTTTCGTATATCTTTATATCATTGGATTCAAATTTAACACCATCCATTACAGTGACCCACTTGTAAATTACTGTAGAGCAAAGCGACATCCACTTGCCCACCTTTGTTTATATATAAATCGTGAAGACGTAATAATGTTTTTCGATGAACGACCATTCGCTATAGGTGGATACTAAATTTATATACAATACAGGAGTTATTTTATACGGTTTTTTTTTCTAATAAGTAATATTACTATTTTACGAACCAATCTATTGTTCAGAATTTTTTGAAAACGTTAACGCGTTGTATGTTTTTATCGCAAATTGCAATACCATTACAGATAATGATCGTCGAATATCGACCGCATATATA